CGTTTGCTGTTTGCTTCTTGCAGGAACCAGTCAGCCCATGCATGTAGCTAAGGAGAAGCAGATTTCTCCGTACTAGCGATGGAAGTCAGAAGTGAAGGGCCAGACCGAAGCCCAGATCAGTTTGGGCTTGTGGTTTTGTGAGAAAAATAAATGAAGAAATAAGCACGGACATGTATGAGCATGGCTGAGTAAACACACGCAGGTCCTAGGCCGTCCACCAAGCAGTGAGAATCAGGGACCCGGGCAGCAATCAGAGGGTTAGTGTGCAGACCACAGTGTAGGGGGGAGACCGAGTCTCCCCCGCCATCCCACGCAGAGCCCAGGCTCCTGAAGAAGGGGTTATTCCAGGGCTGAGGCAAGGAAAATACAAGATCAGCCTGGAACTTCTTGTGGAACAAGAAAGGAAGGAACTAGTGAGCAAGAGGCAGTGAGGCTGCTGCGGGAGACAGGGCAGATGGCGCCAGAGGCGGAACCCTCCCGGGGCCAGCACTGAGCACCCTGCAGGGCAGCCGAACAGCAGCGTGACCAGACGATGACCAGAGGGCACAGCAGGTGCCTTCAGCTCCACTATGGATAAGCAGAGAAAGCAGCGCCTCATAAGGGAGTCCCGTTATAAATGTGATAGACAGGGCTGTCCGAGGCCCCATGGGGGCACCCAGGCCAGCATTGTCACAAGATCTTAAGAGACGCGGAACCCAGGGGCCACGGTTCCCTTCTCCAGCGATGAGACAGAGGCCACCACGCCTCCTGGCATCTATCCTGGCGGGGGCACATGTCCCCTCAACAAATCCTCCCCAGTAGTGTCATCACTAGAAGAACAAATCCAAATCAGGGCCTTCCACAAAGATACCGTCTGGAGCTTTGAGGAGCAGCCAGGTCATTAAAGACGAGGAGACAGAGGCGATGGCCAGATGGCAGCACCCAGGAGACGTGATGGCCAGAGCAGCGTGGGGTCCTGTGTGGGGCCCTGGGCAGGAAAAGCGCGTTTGAGAAAAACTGGGATCTCCGCACCATTTCACTGCCCAGGGTGAGTCTGTGTCTCCGTGGAGTGTCGCCCCAGGCGGGCTGGATGGTGCCGTGGGGCTGTCTGTGCTGCTCCCACAGCTCCCCTAAAAAAAAAAAAAATGTGATCTCAAGGCAAAATGGTTAAAATACAGAGGCAAAGCGGAGAAAGTTTTCGATTTTCCTAGGACGGATGAAGGATCGGACATGGCAGCTCGTACCTGTGGTCCCAGCTGAGCCAGGACGGTCAAGGCTGCGGGGAGCTGTGATTGCAGTAGATCAAGACCCTGTCTCTGCAGAAGCAGAATGTGTTTGGAGAGCTGCAGTCTTGTCCTTCAGAGTGTAGGGAGTTTATATAGCCCGTGTCTGCACCCGGCCCTGCCCAGATGCCGCCAGTCCGCAGCAGCAAGCCACCTTTAGGTAGGTACACAGTGTCGGCTCGGAGGCTCTCGTTTACCTGTCTGGTAACTTTCTAAGAGTTGCACTTAATGAAATTGAGCTTATCCACCTAAGAATGAAGGAGTGAGACCTCTGAGAAATCAGTCACCATAATTTGAGGCCATTAATACAGGAAATAAAAGTGACAGTGGACTGAGCCCGGCAAGCGGAAGAGCTGTCGGGAACGCCGCCTGCCTGCCCTTTGCTGTGGGACCACCGCCAGCACGCGCCGTCCTTTGCGCTCTCAGGAGCAGAGCAGGCTGGCCACGCGTGGCAGGAAGCCGGCACCTCCTCCCCAGCCTCCCTTCCTGCCAAGGCCAGGGGCGCATGCAGAGCCTGGTGAATGGGGCTTCTCTCCCCACACTGCTGTGCGCCTGTCCTCCCTGCTGGAGGGTTTGTTCTTGTGCTTGGGCCGCATCCGTTTCTCCTCTTTTGCTTGCCTGTAGGATCTTTCTACTCCATGCTCCTGAACTTCCCTCGAGTGATTACAATTATGGGAATATGAGAAAATCATTTTTTTTGTTCTAATAGGAATCAGAGAAAGTATATTGAGGAGGCAGGCTGGGAGGATAAATGATAATAGTGAGAAAAGTGGTTACACACTCAGGACAGGAGTCCTGCACTTCAGAGTGGCCAGTCTTGTCCCGCAGTGCCGACCCGCACAGACGGACCCCAGCTCTTGCCACGCACACGTCAGCGTGCTTGTCCACTGCAGCACCGAGCGCTTCCGTAGGAATAACTGCACGCATACGACTTTGAGGTAGATTAATCGTTCCTTAAACTTTGCTAGATTCAGCCGGGCACAGTGGCTCACGCCTGTAATCCCAGCACTTTGGGAGGCCGAGGCAGGTGGATCACCTGAGGTCAGGAGTTCGAGACAGCCTGGCCAACATGGAGAAACTTTATCTCTACTCAAAGTACAAAAACTAGTCGGTCATGGTGGCTGGTGCCTGTAATTCCAGCTACTCAGGTGGCTGAGACGTGAGAATCGTTTGAACCCAGGAGACGGAGGTTGCAGTAAGCTGAGATCGTGCCACTGCACTCCAGCCTGGGTGACAAGAGTGAGACTCCGTCTCAGAAAAAAATAATAAAAAATAAAACTTTTGCTTCATTTTATTTTTTGCATTTTTTGGTACAATAGAAGTTACTTTCTGAATCTGCAACATTTAATTGGTAAATATAACAGCATTCACTGAATATTTACTGTGTTTCAGCTTGGTGCATATTTTCTTTCGTGGCTCATTTTATTTCATGCATGTGAGCCACGTGCCACTATTATTTCTATTTCACAGAGAGGAACCTGACAGATTAAGTCCTGAGCCCAAGGACACAGCAGGAAAGCGTGTGCTAGGCAGGACTCAACTCCAGGCATTCCACCCTTACAGGGACATGAGCCAGAGTGACAGACATCTTCCCCTTCCTCAAACCAAATGGAAAGGTACCTGGCCAGGAAGAGCAGCTTCGTCCGTAGCATGCAACCCGCAGTGAATGAATTGCTTCTATGAGTAACACGTCTGTCCCATCAAATGTAACAGGATTTTGTTCCCAGAGCGACAGTCTGGGCCATTAACAGGAGGTGTGCATGTATTTTTCTCAAATGATCTATTTTATTGATGTCTTTTGTACCCGTCCTGTCGTGCTTACCTGTATTAATCTGTACTATCGTCTGCTTCGACACGGGGCACCTGGCGGGGCAGATCTCACGTGCTGTCTCCCTGCTGGCAGCTCCTCTCGAGAGAAGCCACGCAGACGCAGCTCTGTCTTTCCACCTTTACACGTGGACCTGGCCATTGCCTCACACGGATAAAACAGTACATTTCAGCAAATCAGGCCACCAAATAAACCTTTTGTTTCTTATGTCAAAATAATTAAATTTCCTTTTAATATTTTTGAATAAAATGAGCCTCGTACTTAATTACAAATGAATTTCATGACCAAAGATGAAACACCCCCATTATCCAGGGAGAGAGATGTCCTCGGGAGTATGTGCCGAGAGATCCTATTTAGAGTACGTAAATGTTTAACTTAAAATAGTTTTCTGCTTTTTAAAAATCAGTAGGTGCTTTATAATAAATCACGGTGTGTTTGAATCTTACTTTGATATTCACATATGGTAAGGGCTGGGGCTCCATCAGCTTTTTCACACAGTAACTCTTGCAGCCTAGGAAATACTTAAATATATTTGTCACATACTTGTCTCTTATAATTATAATTAAACTACAACTAGCATTACAGTTGGTCAGTCTGCCCCTGCTGGGCTCCTGCAGGAACAGAGCCACAGTCCCAGCCTCCGCGCCTCTGTTCTGTGACGGCTCAGACTGTGTGTAAAGGTCTTCAGCAGACTCGGGCAGGTGCGGGTTCAGATGGGCCCTGAGCGCCGCCCGCCACCATCCTCTGTCTTCCCTGCTGTCCTCTGTGTCCCCTGAGTGTCCATGAGGCTCCATCTTTCCTCTGTGCTTCTTTAAAGCACTTCCTGTCCTTAGGAGCATCTCCCCCGTGGGTGGGACGGCCCTAAGTCAGGGCGGGACTCTGGGCTCTGGTCTGCAGACACTTCCTAGCAATACCAGCCTCCAGTGAGAGCCTGAGGAAATCACGGAACTGCTCAAGTTTCCTCATCTGTAAATGGAAACAACGTCTGCTCTGTGTAACTGAGAGGCTGCGCTGCGTGAGAAAATAGACACAAAGGCACCAAGTAAACAGAGGCTTTCACGAAGACGGGGCCTCTCGACGTGCCACCTGTGACAGCTCTTGAGCACCGACGAGTAGGGGTGGTTAGTGACTCAGCCTCTCTTCTTGGACTCTAGGGGTGTAGTGGGACAAGGAAGCCTGTGGCCCAGAGCTCCCCTGCCTTCGGCCCCCTAGACTCCCCTTCTTCCGGCCCCCAGAGCTCCCCTGCCTCCAGCCCTCCCCTACCAGAGCTCCCTTCCTTCCAGCCCTCTCCCACCAGAGCTCCCCTGCCTCCAGTCCCCCAGAGCTCCCCTGCCTCCAGTCCCCCAGAGCTCCCCTGCCTCCGTCCCCTTGTCTCTTGCCTTCAGTTCTGCAGAGTGAAGGGCCTGGTACGAGGACCCGTCCCATCCACCTGAGGTTGTGTGTGTCACACATTCTCCAGAAAGGACTTTAGGGATAATTTTTCACTTCAGTTGAGATGTGCCATCTTTACTGAAGAGCTGTTACCTTTTATATCTTTTGATCTGAAGAAAATAGTAAATATAGTAATATTCATTCACAGGAAATAAGGGAAAATGTTTTCATTTGCTTACATACATCACTCCCGGCTTAGTAGAGCTACGGCTTAAACGTGGAACAAGACGCAGGTCAACCGGAAGAGGGCATCAGCCTCTAACCTCAGATGGGCACCAGTGGACATGTGGTGCCCAGGCAGCTTCTTGAGGATTTGGGTGTCCAGAAGGTGCCCTGAGATGCTGGTGTACCCATGGCTGGGACGGCGTGGGTGGGGCTTCGGACCCGGGCCTTTGAGAGGTGACCCGCACCTCACTCCTGGAAGACGCGAGCCAAGCGTGTGGCTCTGGTATTAACTACGCTCTTCACTGTCTCCCTAGGGACGATCCTTGTCCTTCAAGACCTTCCTCATCTGGGTGCTAATCAGTATTTACCAAGGTAAGACGGGATCCTTAGTTTACTGGACTACAGATTTTTAATTTTGATCTTCTTTTAGCAATATTGTTTTTACTTCCAAATTCAATTCCAGCAGCTTAGAATGTCATCAGCAGTGAAATGCTGCCTTCTGTGTATGGTGTAAATCGATATTCCAGCAATGTGGACTCTCTATTTTTAACTGATGCATGTCACCTGAAAACCGACTTGTTTTTAATTAAATGCTAATCCAGAAACATTGTAACAAGCACTTATCACATTGTGTGCCCTGAACAATGGTTTTCTTTCATAGAGTGATAAAAAGACTTAAGAGAAGTCTGAGTTATGGAAGGAGAAGCCATTAGCTCCTCTTCCCTAGTGCTCGGATGAATGTGAGACTGTTGTAAGTGCAGCTAACAGATAGACGTATTATATGCAAGGCATAATTACTTACAGTAACTGCAGTAGAGGTATGGCCTTTCATCCAGACATTGAAAAGTTTCTCAGCCTCTACTTGACATTTTTAACTAATCTAGCTAGGACCCTGTCTTATTTTGTCCATAATCCAGAGTTTCAGTGACTTGTTCATCAGCATCAAATATGGGCATAGGCATTATCCACCATTTTTCTTTTTTTTTTGAGATGGAGGTTCGCCCTGTTGCCCAGACTTCAGTACAGAGGCGCGATCTCGGCTCACCACAACCTCCGCCTCCCGGGTTCAAGCGAGTCTCCTGCCGCAGCCTCCTGAGTAGCCGGGATCACAGGCACATGCCACCATGCCCAGCTAACTTTTTTGTATCTTTAATAGTGACGGAATTTCACCATGTTGGCCAGACTGGTCTCGAACTCCTAACCTCATGATCTGCCTGCCTTGGCCTTCCCAAGTGCTGGGATGCCAGGCATGAGCTGCCACGCCCGGTCTATCCCCTATTTTTAAGGGTTCTCAGTGAGGCTGCTGTTTCCAGGCCGTTTCTCTAGCTGGCTTACGCCGTGCTCACACGTCGTGGGAAACGTTCCTGTGTTTTTCAGGTGGCATCCTCATGTACGGGGCCCTGGTGCTCTTCGAGTCCGAGTTCGTCCACGTGGTGGCCATCTCCTTCACCGCGCTGGTGCTGACCGAACTGCTGATGGTGGCGCTGACCATCCGCACATGGCACTGGCTGATGGTGGTGGCCGAGTTCCTCAGCCTGGGCTGCTACGTGTCCTCACTCGCCTTTCTCAATGAATATTTTGGTAAGTTGCCTTGAAATTACTTTTTGAATTGTCATCTATTCATGATTTTGAAGCATTTTTTTATTGTTACTCCTGAATACGTTGTCTTAAATTGTGGAATATGGTAAAACCCGTATCAGAAAGCGCCCGCTCTTACCATCCACGCACTGTGGATGAAGGCACTGTGTCCCGTCGGTCACTGGCCGGCTCCCCCCGACATGAGGCGCTGTGTCCAGTCGGTCACTGGCCGGCTCCCCCCGACATGAGGCGCTGTGTCCCGTCGGTCACTGGCCGGCTCCCCCCGACATGAGGCGCTGTGTCCCGTCAGTCACTGGCCGGCTCCCCCCTACATGAGG